TATTCATATTGCATATTTGACATCCAAAACATCTGTAAACAAACATGAAAACTGACCTAGATCTGTTTTTTCCTAAAGAACAACCGGATTTCGAGTTGCTGTTGCACAAATGGCATCAGCCAAGCAGGAGGGCAGTGCAGGTTCAAATCAAAGCTGGATTACTCCAAGTGAGATTCCTGCAGGAACACCAGGACACAGAGGGCAGAATCCTCCCCTATAGACATATTCTCACAAATACTCTGTTTTTCCAAAATCAGCCTTGCTAATGACAAAGTGACAGGACAGAGCCATCACCTGTCCTCTGCCACCCCTGGCTGCACTGAGCCCAGCCTGATCCATTGCTGTTCAAGCCCTGCCACTACACAAACAGCACCCAGGGTTTCACTATCACAAACACAATCTCCCAGTGCTTGATTTCTCTCCCTGCCTCAGTTTGAATATCATTTCCTGTCCCAGCTGAACTCCACAGAGCTGTGCTTCCCCTGTGCCCCGTCCCACAGGGATTCACACACCTGGAATATCCTCAGTTCCCACAGTCCTCTCTCCCTCCTCTGCACTGAGGGATGGAATCGCTGGCACAGAAATGGAATTACAGCTGTTCAAAACCTGCCTGGCCCTCATTTGGGAAGCAACTTGTCAAACACAGCCCAAATAAACCCCACAGATCCATTTCTTCTCACACTGAAGGAGCAAAGGAGGATTCAAACTTGCTCCAGGGGATCCTGATTTGTTCCCTGAGCCAATTCCTACCTGCAGCCTGCTAAATTCTCCCCTCAGGCCATGGGCTGGCAGGAAGAGATCAAAGACACCACATCCCACGGCACAAGCACAGGGAGTCACCTTCTCCAGGTTATTCCATCTTTTTTTTTCCCCCTCTCACTCCCATGTGTCTCCCTCTGGGATGTGCAAGGTGGCTCCTGAAAGCTCTGCTCACTCTCCAGCTCCTGCTGTTCCCTCCTGCCAGGAACACCAATTGTTTTTTGGAGCTGTGGATCTGAGTTCTCCTCACTGGCTGGTGCTCCAGGGAGTTTCCCAAACTTCCCCATTTGGGAGCAACAGCAGAGCTGTGCAGGAAAAAAAAGCAGGATGGAAAACCAGTCACCAACAGCCCAGCACCACAACCCTGCCTGGGAGCTGCTGCTCTGCCTTGTGCTCACACAAGGACACCTGTGCCATTGTTAAATTTAAGGAGAAAAAAATCATAATTTAAATGACTCTGGATTGTATCCACGCCCCAGGTAAATATAGAAAATTGAAATGAGTAAATCAGACGGAATCATAAGCTGCTATTAGGATCCAACAATTAAACCCCAGCAATTAGAGGAATTTCTGACCTGGGAGGAATTGCTGCTGTTTGGTAAAACCCATCCAAATGACCACAAACAGTTCTTACCACAGAGGTCAGACATAATGGGGTCCAGACCAGACCAGGTGCCAGGATAAAAATGCCAGGAGGGTGAGAAGAGAAGGGAAAATCCAGCGTACAAGGGATGAAATGTACCTGAACAGCCACTCTATGAACACACTGTTTAAACTAAAATCCAAAGGTGGCACAGAGAGCAGCAGCTGGGGGGGGTTAAACATTGCCTGGGATCTGCCACCCTCCCTGCAAGGACAGGGATCACAACACAGGTTCTTTCCAGCAGGGATTAAGGATCATTTGATGCTGGATATTCCCATCCCCATCTCTCAAAGCTGATCTAATGGATCCTCAGTCAGCTGGCAGCTACACGAGTTTTCAGTGTTAAATGTGGGTGACCCCTCATCACTCCATGATCAGAAACTTTGTTAGTTATGGAAAAATTCCCTTTTTAAACAGTGCTAGTCATTTTCCCCAATGGATTATGCCACCACACACTGCCATCCATCCCTTAGGCTCACTCCACTTCCCTCCCAGCTCAGTCTTTGGATCAGTGAGGGACCCCCTGCACCGCCTGAATTTGCTGTTCCTGCAGGAATTCATGGCAACACAACTACAGAGCAAAAGATGGACTGAAATAGCCTTTCCCTGATTGTCAGTCTGCTCCTTCCACAGCTCCTCAGCCAAAAAAGCTGCTCTGTTTTCTCACTGGACTTCACAGAACAGGCAGAAGCACAGATGATGATGCTAAGAATGAGCTACTGACATTTATTTTCCAAAATTCACGTTCCTATTCTGCTCTGACAGTTTTAGCAGACATGAAAGAAAATCATTATCAGGACTTAAGAGAGTTAAATAGAACCAGACCTAAGGGCCAGCAATGCAAAAAGCAACTCCTACCCTCACTTGTGCTACTCTGAAGCCTAATCACAGTTAGAAACTATGTTTAAAAAACCCAAAGGTATTCTACACCATGTTGAAAAAACAAAAAAAAAGTCTTTTCAGCCTTGCACAGACCTAAATCACCCACAAACCCCACCCCAGGGTAGTTCTGTAGGTTCCAAACTAAACACAGCAGTGACTGAAAGGGAAACCAAATCATCAGAGATGATTGTGACATTGAAGTGTTGACACAAAGTTCCAACCCTAATTAGAACAGTAACAAATATCAGTGCAATTTCCTGCATGACTCCACTCCAGACACACACAAGCACTTCCCCTTGCCTCCAGCTTTGCTCCTGAAGCCTCACACCTTCAAACCCCCTGGGGAAAGAGATTTTGGGGTAACTGCTCTCTGTCCCAAGGCTGAAGATCTTCAGAGGAACAGAACACCTGCACTAGAAACTCATCGTGCCCCACCCTGCCCTAAACAACTGACAACCACACCGAGGCATTTCAGGAATTAAACAAGAATCATTTGCAATTTATCCCACTGAACTCATGGAAAAGGAACATTCCCCCTCTGCGCTGCTGTTTGCCTTCTGCAGAGTCACAGAAGGATTTAGGTTGGAAAAGATCTCCAAGATCACCAAGTCCATTCTGAGCCTGATGCCCACCAGAGCCCCGAGTGCCACCTCCAGGAATTCCTTGGGCACCTCCAGGGATGGGGATCCAACCTCCCCTGGGCAGTGCCAATGCCCAGCCACCCTTTCCATGGGGAAATTCTTCCTGACAGCCCAGCTGATGTCCCTGAGGCTGTTTGTGCCTGATCCCAGCTGCTCCTGGTGGGAGCAATGGAGAAATCATGGATAAACCATGGATAAACCATGGATAAATCATGGATAAATCATGGGAAGTGCCACTGCCTCAGAGCTGTGGCACTGCTGGGGAGCACAGGCACATCGAAGTGGGGTTTAGAGCTCAGCTAAACCAGCCCCAAGCCTTGTCCAGCTCTTCTCACCCAGGCTCTCCCTCAGACCATCCCATCCCCTGGAAACTGCTGCATTCACAGGAGCACTTCCCTTGGAGTTAAAGGAAAGTCAGGGAGGAGTATTAGAGATTTTCAACTTACTGTAATACGGTATTGTAAAAAAATTAATTTAACAAAATGAATTTCTTGTTTTGAGCCCTGCTCAGTCTGCAGAGATACAGCACATTCACTATGAAACTGAGGAAAGACTTAAAACTCATCAGCTACAAATCAAAAGTGACTTTAAATGCCTTCCACAAACAGTTCTTTTGAACATAAAACCACCTAAATAAAGCCCTCCCATACCTGCTGCTCCCCCAGTGAACACCTGAGCAAACTCGGCCTATGTAAGCTGCAGTGCTATTTTAATTTTATATAAATTATGAGAACAAAGCTTCCAGGTCTTCTAAAGAAAAAATAACAATGTCAATATTGATTTTGCCACTACTTGGCTTAGAACAACTAACTTAAAACCAGTTCACTTGAGCTTCTAAACCTCAAGGAAGTGGTGTAGACATCTGACCCACCTCACATGGGTTCCTGACTCCAAAAAGCAGTTTGCTTTAATAACAAAATACAGCTTATTTACTTAAAGAAATTGTTTCTGTTTGCAGGAGAGAAAACAGAGAAGTGAAACTGATTTTTTTTTCCCAATTTTTTTTTTTTTTTACAAAATTTATTGTGTGTTTATCACATTCAAAAAGCATTGACCAGTGGGGCTTTTGGGGAACTGTTTAGAATGCAAAGGTAAAGCTGGTATATTTGGAAGCTTAATTAGCAATTAATGACTGTCAGCTTGAGGAAAATTTGAACAGCCATGGGGTTGACACTTTAGATTTCCAATAGTTCTGTGGGCACGACTGAAAAATTAAAAAAGGTAAAAAGAAACTGAATGCCTTGGCAAGACCAGACAGTATCATGAACATATGAAATTAAATCTTAAAATAAAAATATTTTTAGGGTTCGATGATTAAATCTTTGCCCCCGTTTTCATGTCTGTTTAATTTCAGTCTGAGCTTAAATTTTTACATCTGTCATGACTGCCTACGTGGGCAATTCTGGAAAAACCAGGATGAAAACTGCTTTGGGATGAGCACCAGGAGACTCTTCACAAGGCACTGCAAGGCTGAAGCAGGAATGGGTTGGAGGACACAGGAATTCACATGGTCAGGTAGACCACAACTCACAGCAAAAAAAAAAAAAAAGTCAAGTGCATTGCATGAAAATGCCCCAACAGTGAGCAAAAACCATGCAAGAACAGCTGGAATGGCAGTGGAGAGCAGCTCTGGCTGCCTCAGATGGAAACAAAACATTCCCCACTGTACAAGTGACACTATCCACAGCCTCTGCTCAAACACAGGGACCAAAAGCTAATTTAGGGAGAAACTGAATCAACTTTGCAGAAAGCCCTCTACAGAGCTGGTTCTGAAACAAAAGGGACTGAGAATTCAGAATCTCCAAATTAAGACTGAAGTATACCAATGGTATTTACATCGAGCACTTCATCTTTAAAAATGCATGGAAAAGGACAATTCACTTTTTAAGGGTGTCCTCTAAATCCGGCATACAGATAAAATACTCTGACATCCTGGATTTGTTTCAAAGCTTTTTGAGAAACACACACAAATAATTCAGATTTAGTCAATTTTATTTACAGTTTGTTTTTTTACATTTCAGAGCATTACACAATTACATATCTCATTTTTCTGACCTGCAAACAGATACCTTAAACGGAAATATTTAAAAAAAAAAAAAAGAAAAAAAAAAAAAAGAAAAAAAAAAGTTAGATACATCCAAAATGCAACAATTACACATCTGACAATTCACAAAGTGTAATTTACTAGGACGTATCCTAAGAATTTAGGAACAACCAGTCAGGAGAAAATCTGACCAATTTCAGCAATTAATTATTTACACATTCAAAACAAAGCCTCTCTTAAGCTAAACCTCCAGGCAAACGGCCTGAAAGATTTCTTCAGGAAGAAAGACCAGAATGATTCACACCTATGCAGCATTAACAGCCCTTGATCCCAAACACTGAGGCCTCCTCAGCTTTGTCTTAGAGCTACAGGCATCCCTCGACTTCTCCGACCCTGAAGTGATTTAGTTGTGCCCCCATGTGCATAGAAAGGTTGAGTGTTTAAGTGGTCACTACGATAAAACCCCATTTAATCTGGTCTTTAAGTCACTAAAATTCTTCTTCCTTACGACTTGGAGCACGTCTCCAATGCCATTTAAACCGGCCCGCTCGGAGAACGGAACCCACCGGGCCTGGCCAGACTAAATCCATTAGAGACTGGTTGAAAATAATCTTTAAAGACCATTTAGACAAGGCTTACATTTCTACACTTCCCTGATGGGCCACCTAATAAAACAAAAAAGTCACAGCTACTACTTTCATCCCTCGTGTCAACCCTTGGCCACACAGAACTAGTTATATACTGGGTAGAAACTACTAAAAAATTCCCTGCAAATCAGCTGCCTTCCAGCTGAAGCTATGGCTCCTATGCATCGGGTGGTTTGGTTTGTTTTTTTCTTTTTTCTTTCTCTTTAAAAAAATTTCTCACTTGAAAAATACCTCAGTCCTCACTTTCAGGCTAATTTTGATTGCGTGTTCAATTGGTTTTAACCGTCACGACCCGCCACGCACGGCACGAGTCTCGTGTAAAAAGAGCAGTCAACCGAGTGCAACTTCTGACTTTGCCACATCCTTCCTGGCAGTTCTTTCTCTCTAACCTGGCTACGGATTTGGTGGAGCCTCCAGGTTTCTTGCCTACCTTACTCTCCACGTTCACGTCTCAAACTGCGTCAGCAGGGCCCGCACCTCGGGCGTGAGCTGCTTGGCAGCCTTGGCTGCCTCAGTGACGGCCTTGCGGTACAGACCCTTTCTCTTCTTATTAAAGCGCAACTGGAAGCTTTCTAAAAAGGGGGAGAGCTGTGCAAGAGCAAGGAAAGACGTGGTGGTGGAGCCAAACCATGAGATACGAGCCTCCTGGCGCACCAGCAGCCCGGTATCCTTGCGGCTCACAGTTATGGTAAGGATACGGGCCGGCCACCAAGGGAAGCCATAAATCTTGGCCCAAACAATGTCCCCTACACATACGGTCCTGCCATCTGGTGTGACACATTTAGAGACGTTTTTGGAAAAGACTTCTGTTTTCAAGGAATTACTGAGCTTTTTCTCTTCCTTCGAAGAGGAGGAGGAGGAGGAAGAGGAGGAGGAGGAGGAGGAGGAAGGTGCATGCATGCTGCCTGGAGGAAAATCAAAGCTTTCAGTAGAGCTACACTCAGAGTTGGTGGATTTCAAATCATCTGTGCTATCACTACTACAAACTGATGCACTGGAAGAGTCAGATTTCTTTTGATTAAGGGTCATGTAAACCGTTATATTGCTTTTGCTGCCTCTCTTGCCCAGTGTCTGCTGTTCATCCTGATCAACAGTTACATGCACTTCACTCGTGTCCTGAACCTCACTGCTGGCCTCTTCGGGGCCTTCTGAGGGGCTCTGGGTTTCTGAAGGGGCCTCACCTGCTGAGCGGGTGGAGGAGCAGCGAGACTGGGGCTTAGTTGCCATCTTGCCACTCCGTATTTTCTCAAGTCCTGTCTTGAGGGAAGAGTCATTTTCTTCGTTGCGATACCGCTGGGGCTTTAGGCGCAATCGGGGCGGGAGGGACCCTGAGCTGGTGTTCTGAAGACGCCGCGTGAAGTGGACCTTTGAATGTGCATTTTTGGAAGAGGAGGTTGCACTCTGCTTCTTTTGTGCCTTTTCTTTGGCCATTTTCAAGACTTCCCGAGCTTTTGCATGATCCATGTTTTTGCTCTGGAGAACTTTTTTTGTGTTTAACTGCGCTTTTGAAGTATTTGCTTGTGCGGAAACTTTAACTACTCTGCTTCTGCTGTGGGCAATATTTGAAACCTTGACCACAGCGTTCCTTTTCTGGCTTTCGTTTTGGCTTTTTCCATCCACCTTATGGTCAGTCTTAAGTTTTTTATTCACAGTAGTCACGCTCTCGTTTCTTCGCTTTTTACTATCCTCGTATTTGGAAGAGTCACTTGCATTGCCACCTTTCTTGATCTCCTTTTTCTCTGCCACCACGCTGTTCTTGCACTTGTCACACAGGACCTGCCGGGGCCGTAGTTTGATGGCGTTCATGATCGAAGTGGGTTCCTCCCTGTACATTTTCCGCTTGGGCCGCTTGATTTTCCGGGGTGGAGGCTGAGGTATTGACTGGTTATAGGTGTCCCTGATAAACAAAGGAGGAGGGTACGGTGCTCCCTCGTGAAAGAGAGGAGGTGGTTTAGAAGTCCAAAGGCTTTTAGCTATGCTGGGCTCTGATGGCTGCGTGAGGGAGGAGTCATCAGGGACTGCAGCATCGGCCTCGCACTTCACCTGCGCCTCCTCTTGGAATGCTTTGCTTTGGAGCTGCATGGCTTCGGGTTTGTCCTTGTACTCCCTTTTAGGAAATATGGTCACAGGGATTCCATGGGGGCCAAACCTTAAAGAGAGAGGAAAAAAGAAAAAAAAAAAAAATCAGTGTTTTGAGGGAATTCTTGCAGTGCTTATCACAAAGCATTTGAAAACTTGTCTGCGTTAGGTAGCCAGCATTTGAAAACCATGAGTCCCAGGGAAATTCAAGCTTCATGTCCAGCCTTATGGGAAGCTTTGAAAATGCAAGACACCAAAATGAAGTCAGTAGAAAACAAAAAACACACAACTTCACTGATTATCTGTTTCCAGACCCCACAAGATGCCCTGAAAACGTAACAAAAATATCCCCGAGACAGCAGCAAAAGAATTGATTTATGCTTCTAGAAAATGCTTACAAACATCCAAACTCACCCCAACAACTCCCAACCTACCCAAGCTCATTTTCCATACTAAGTCAACTTCATGCAAAGACATCTTCAGGAACTTTTCTTCCATTCTTAGCACAGCAGAAAAGGATGAATGGTCCAGATTTAACAGAGACGAATCTGGGCTGCCTAAATCCTTGCAGTGAACAGGGAACACCACCACCCTCCATCCACAAAAGCTCAGCACCTGATGCTTTATAGCCCAAAACTCCCCAACCCAGTCTGAATTTCTCCCAGTAAAACTCCCCTTATTTCAACTCAGTACAAACTATTCCTCACTGTCCCAGGAGCAAACAGGATTTTCAACCTTTCACTCATTTTCTCTGGAATGGAATTGCTCTAGATCAGGGCAGGGACAGGCACCCAAGATCTGTCCTCAGGTCTGTGTTGCACGGTGACTGCTCAACAGCAACATCCCCTCAGCTGATTAAACGGAAGGTTTTGTTGTTTGTTTTTTTTTCTATAAGTGCCTGTATGTTGCCTTTATTTCCTCAAAATTGGGTTTGAAAAAAAAGTCATGACATGTTAGAAGGTTCTTTACAGTGTCCCCAACAAAAGCCATCACTTGTTTGTCCTTTTGCTTGTCACAAGCCTCTTTCTACATCTGAAGTTGTAACTGAAGCAAACGACCCACCCAAGATTAAATTATCCACCCAGTTTGCATTTCAGCAGCTCATACAGACATTTTTCCAGCCTATGGTCTGGCATTAAACCACAAGGGACTCGCTCATAACTAAGTTTTACATTCCCTAAAGTCCCACAAGTCCATCAAGGGTAAAGAAGTTGCTTTTCCACAAATACTTTTCCCTCCACAAAGGGCTGTAAGCAAGTTACTCAGTTCCAAGTAGGGCTTTAAAAGAAACTATCAGCTGACAGTAATTAAATTAGCAATATTTTCAGTGTTATTTGCATCAAGACCTTCAGCTTCTAAACAAAAATACGACCCAGATCCCATCATTCACCACCTGATAAAGATTAGAGGATTTGGTAAAAAGTTAAGCTATGGTAAAAGCTGAAAACAAGACAGGGCAAGATCTCTGCTGTGCAAATTCCAACCCCAAAGAGCACAGGAGTGGGATATCAAACCCCCACACAGACAAACATCCCTTAGGAGCGCTCCCAGTGCCTCGGGAAGAGCCTTTCCAGACCCCACAGGCCATTCCCAGAGCCAAGCCCTTCTCCCAGAGGGCATTTACGTGACTCTGTGTCAGGAAATTGAGCATAATTAGCTGTCACTAGGAAGAGGTGCACGAAGAGGACTGCAGGGGTTTCCAGAAGGATCCCATTCAAGTATTTCATCTCTCTTTTCCCAGGTTTTCATTCCTTTCCCTCCAAGGCACAAAGGAGCTGATGGAAAGCTCAGCACACGCCTGATACCAGGAAATCAAAGATTCATTCTGCACCTTCCCCTCTCCTTTCCTTCAAGCACAAAACACAGGCCAGAACTGATGAACAGGAAGCCACAAAGGGCAATTTTTATCCAAGATGCAAACCTGCTTTAATAAGACACAAAACAAATCCAGAGTGCAGCTCTCCTCACGAAAGGTACTGCTTAAAAAATAAACCAGACTCTCCCACCCCTGTGCACCTACAAATTCATGAACTGGGGAAGTAAAGAACATTCATGGATATTGTGCCAGTTATGTACAGCACTACCCCTGTAAATGATGTGTTAATACAAACATGCAATTAGTCAGGACAATCTACCTGCAGGACAAAATACAACTGGTAAGCCAAAAGACTGATCATTATTTCCAACAGCTCAGTGTATTGTGTCTTCTCTTGGCCCCACCCAACAGCAGACTGGATCTATAAACAGTTTTTGATTATCTCTGTTTCCTCCCTGGCTAATCAAGTTCTCCAGCAACTGGAGAATGAAAACAAAGAAGATAAAACAATGGCTAAAAAACTTGCAAATGAAGTAGTAAAGGTTACAGGAAAGAATAAAGACAAAAAATAAGGTAAGAAAAAGGGGATTTATTTTTCCTAAGAGAAGCAGCAGAATGAAGATGTGAGCTTAAACCTCTTCAGGACAAGGCATGACACAGCATCTAATTAGTTCTGCAGCAAGCACAAGTGTTTATTGCATGTACCAGAATTTCAAGCCCTATTTTCAAACACCCAGTTGGTGGACCTTGAAGATAAATACTCCTCATACAGCCACAGTAATTCTTGTCACACCAACTGCAAGGCTGAGGTAGTTAGCTGTGTTAGTAGCTAGAAAAGCTGCAAAAGCATTTGGTTCATCTGCCACAGAGATGAAGGAAGACTAAAGGGCATCTATAGAAAACAAAATTTAAAAACTCCCAAGACACACAGCTCAGTTGTATCATGACATTTACTGATCCCCCAGTCAGTCACTGGAATGAGAATGGAAGAGAAACCATTCCAGTTACCTCACAGTGACACTCCCAACACGTTCTTCTCAGCACATATTGCATGGTTAAGTTCTACAAGGAATTGACTTGTCTTTATTCCAACAAAATAATTTTTTTAAAATACACTGATCCCAAATATCACCTCACCCCACAAGATTTCAAGAACAGGCTTTTCTGGATGAAAGTAAAGATATACTGCAATTACTGTTTGCTTAAAATAAAAATTCCCTGGTGCCCAAGTTCCAGCTGCTCCCTGCCCAGCCCACTCCTGACTCGTGTAACACTTCTGCCTCAGACCCTCACACTCCAAGGAATGGCAAGATTCACTGACAGGAGATCTAAAAGTGAAGTGTTAGAAAAGCCAGACTCAGAAATAGGTATTTCACCCTCAATCCAAGGAGTGCTGGGAAGCAGTGCCCTGCTGCTTCCTACCTATGGAAATCACAGCCAGTTTTCCATGGTGCCACTTCCTCTCCTGCAAAGGTGTCCCAGCTCTCATTTGCCTTGAAAATGCACCTCGAAGAGAGGATGTGTGTGATGTTGTACAAAACTCATTTCTCAGAGGTTTTTAGAGTAACCAGGGCAATCAGCAGAATCTGATTGCACTTCTGCTGTAGATGCCACTGCAAAGTACATTTTCACTGGAGACAGAAATCACAGGAAAGCAGGACCTACACTGCACTAAGAGCCTGATCAATTCTGGCAGTGCAGATATTTACACTGAGAGGAACTTTCAATTGACCAAGGTGTGCAGAGACAGAACCAGGGTAAAAACAGGGAGGCTTCATTTCCAGTTTGCCAGCTGCAAGTTAATAGGCAGCCATGGCATCCAAAAGCCAGTTTGAGTACCAAACCCAAAACTCTCATTTAAAGCCAGACAGTTTTGTACTACAGACATATAAACTTAAGTACTTAAGGAAAGTAAAGCCACTTTTTTTCAAATCTAAATCCTGCAGCAGAATTACTACAATGAAAGCATCTCACTGCTCAATTTATATGCAAAACAGAACAGTTACAGAGTATTTTTTCAGAAATAACCATGAGAGATAAGGAACAAATCCCTTTTTAACTCAGGACCGTGTGCACATAAACAAAGTACATAAAGAACACTCCCTGGGGCAAAGTGTTCTCCGCTAGTACCTAAAGTTTTAAGTTCTCATCTTTAGCCTCCCATGTCTGACTTCTCTACTAAAATAGAGAGAAATTAAAACCCCCTTGTTCTGCCAAAGGAGTGAAGGCACTGGGCAGGTTCAGAACTATTTATTTCCCATTTGTCTTTGGACACATTGAACTGACATCAGCAAAGCTGAGAAACTTGTGTTAAAGTGTTACGTCTGTGGTAAATGACTGATCAAAACCCATCTTCACCACCAAGGCAGTGCAGAAATGTCTTGGTACCTTTTCTGCCCTTGTAGCCAAGATCATCCTTGGTGTTCTGCAAAAGCCAGGACAAGCAACAGCTGAAGCCATTTTTATTGCATGGATGGAAGTTCCAGGAGTATAATAATATGCTGAAAGAACTATGGATATGTATTTCATGCATCTAAACTGAGGGTTTAAATTATAACATTCCATGTAATACACAGTTAGATCATAGCTATTTGAACACAAAGTTTTGCAGAACTTCTCAAAATAACCTGCATTGAAAACACAGATTATGCAACAACCTATTTTTAATGAAGGATTTACTTGGTGTGATAAAGCACAAGATGGAATATATGGCTTTAAGCGCAGGCACCTTCCTGAAAAAAGCATCCCCAGAAGCCAAACAATCAGCTCCATGGTTTATTCACCCCCTGAGCAATGTAACACCAGGCTAAGTAGCCTAGAAAATGCACATTTCACTGACAGCTCTGAACCCACAGCAAAGGACTGCAGTGTGACTCTTTGGAACAGCACAACATAAAGACAGGATGCTCTGAGGTTAGGCTTTCCATTCACCACCGTAATTTTCCTGGCACATCTATAAAGCTGAAGGTCTTTTTAAACAGAAATATCTTTTAATTTTTACATCTACTGCCATTATTAGCTGTCAGTTGCATTTTGAAGCAGACGCTTCACTGATACATTTGCTGGGATGAATTTTGAAGGATTATCCCTTGAATACACTCTTCAAGAACATCCATATGCCAGACCCAGGACATATGGAAGAGAATGATACCATTAAATAATGGATGAAGTGCCAGGATGGCCAAGATTCATCAGTCCCATAACAGAAAATGAACTGAATGCAGTCTGAGAATTTCACCCCTGCCCTGCCCGAA